TTTAAAAAAATTCGTTTATTTGTGGCTTGGCGCAATGGCTTAGTTACTAAATCCTTGTTAGCATAGTCTAGGATCTCATATGGGTGCTAGTTCATATCTTGGCTGCTCCAGTTCCCATTCAGCTCCCTGCTTGTGGCCTTGGAAAGCAGTCGAGGACAGCCCAGGGCCTTGGGACTCTGCACCCATGTGGGAGACCTGGAGGAACCTTCTGGCTCCTGGCTTTGGATCATCTCTAACTGTTGCAACCACTTGAAGAGTAAACGACTGGATGCAAGATCTTTCTCTCTGTAAATCTGCCTTTTTTCAATAAAAATAAATCTAAAAAAGATTTATTTTTTTTGTATTTGTAGGACAGATTTACGGAGAGAAGGAGAAACAAAAGAGATCTTCCATCTCCTGGTTCATTAACCAAATGGCTGCAGTTTATTTTCCCCTAAGTAATTTCGCAGAGTTGATACTAGAGCTCCTCTTACTGAAGTTACTGTTAACTGTTTTGTAGTGACCCTCATGCTTTAACCCTTTAGCTTTAGCTAAATTAAGCAGGTGCAGAGCTTTGCTATGGACTCATTTAGCATGATTAGGACTGTTTGGTATGTAGTCCTTACCAGTACATGGTATTTTGATAAAGTGTAAGTATTGATGGAATATTTTATCTTTTATTTTAAAGTTTTATAGATTTATTTATTTTCAAGGCAGTTACAGTGAGATAGGAACTTGGAGAAACAAGCAGATAGAGGAAGATTTTCCATCCATTGGTTTACTGCCTAGATGACTGCTACAACCAGGGCTAGGCCAGGCTGAAGCAGGATCCTGGAACCCAACCAGATCTGCCGTATGGGTGGCAGAAGCCCAGTCACTTGGATAGTCTTCTGCTTTCCAAAGCACGTTACCAGGGAGCTGGTTCACATGCCACCTGGGACTGCAACTGGCACACGTAGGGATGCCAGTGTTACAGATGGTGGCTTTGCCCATTATGCCACAGCACTGGCCCCATCGTTCTAGATTTTAGAGTATTTAGGGCTTTAGAGTTTTTAATTCAGTTGCTCAGATATGTGCAGATATCTCCAAATCTGGAAACATTTTATTCCAGGCATTTTAAAAAATAAATATTGCTTTGTAATAATGATTACATGGTTTAGCAGGGTGGAAAGGATCAAGGTTCAGGGAAGATTGGGTGGACTCATTGCTTTCAGATATTCCAGGCATTTTCAATAAAGGATACTCATTTAGCCTGTGCTGGTCTTTGGAGATAACAAGGCATGGGTGTTCTTTCCACAGAACTTAGAGTAAGGAAGTTTTTGTTTCTTCTTCGAGATGAGCATTTGGTTCCATAGAATAACTTGCTCAATTTAAGGTTAGCAGAAAAGAATGACTAATCACTTGGTACTTGGTGAGTTTGAGGAAGTGTTGTAATCATTTTAGCTTTTTTTTTTTTTAAAGATTTATTCTATTTTTATTGGAAAGACAGATATACAGAGAGGAGAGACAGAGAGGAAGATCTTCTGTCCGATGATTCACTCTCCAAGTGAGCGCAACGGCCGATGCTATGCCGATCCGAAGCCAGGAGCCAGGAGCTTCCTCCAGGTCTCTCATGTGGGTGCAGGGTCCCAAAGCCTTGGGCCATCCTCAACTGCTTTCCCAGGCCACAGGCAGGGAGCTGGATGGGAAGCGGGGCCGCCAGGATTAGAACTGGCACCCACATGGGATCCCGGGCATGCAAGGCGAGGACCTTAACCACTGTGCCACTGCGCCGGGCCCAATCATTTTAGCTTTAATTTTTTCCTGTGTGAAACAGATAAAATGTACTCTGTAGGAATTTGGGGATTAAATTAATTCGTGTAATTAAGACAGAGCGTGTAACCACTGTATACCTTCACATTTCCACCCCCATCTATAAATGCAGGTGGATCTTAGGCAGCATTGTTTCTAGCCCACCTACCACAGAAAATACAATCCTAAGTTTCTCTTATGCACGTGCACACACATGTGTATCCTCACACTTCTGAGTTTCTTCTTTAGTTATATTGCTTTAGTTAGGCTTAAAAATCATGTTGACATTTTGTTTTGTGGAATGGTTTCAGCTTTAATTAACATTAAAATTATCTTGTATTAAAACATATGAGACATATTGCTGATGAAAATGACAGTTTTTTTTGACTAGGTAAATAATAAAATATTTACAGAAAACTACAACTTTAGTACATTCAACACGTATGTTTATCTTCACAAAACGTAAGACAGCTGCAGCTTAAGCCTGCTTGATGGGGAGAACCAATAAGGAGCCCAGTTGTTTTGTGCCCAAGAACCTCGGGAAAAGCTGAAGAATTTAAGGCACTAGATATCTCTGAAAGAAAAATTTGGACTGAGGGGGAAAAAAAACTAACAGGAGGATTACATGAAAGTATGGAAAGAAAGAGTCCCAGCTTTTCCTTTTTTATGAAGTACAGCCAAGAGATAACCTTGGCTTCAAACAGGTCCAGCTCAAGATGATAAAACCAGTGGATGAAAGACCTGTTTCTCCCTTTTTGTTTGTAATTCTTTCAAATAAATAAAAATAATTTTAAAAAAAGATAATATATGTTATAGCAAAAGCATTATGAAATAGCAGTATAACCTTGGGGAATAAAATCTAAAAGAAGCAGCTGAAAGAGTTAAAGTTATTTTCTATTGAAGAAACAGATCCAGAATTCATGATAAAATTTTAAAGGTTAATTTTTTTGAGTTCAAATAAATTAATTAAAGAGAGGGGGAAGTAGAGAGAAAAGAGAGCTTTTATTCACTGGTTCACTCCCCAGATGGCCACAATGGCCAAAGCTTTGCCAGACTGCATCCAGGTGGTTCTCCCACATGGGTGCAGGGGCCCAAGCACTTGGATCACCTGCTGCTGGCTTCTCAGGCATATTTGCAAAGAACTGGATCAGAAATGGAACAACCAGGAATTAAACCAGCGCTTATACAGAATGCCTGCATCCTGATAGCACCTTAACTTGCATGCCACAACACCAGACCAATGAGTTCATTATAGGTACAAAAATGTATTTGCAACTTACAGTTATAATCTATAGTGTATGTAAAACATGTTACAAGCATTAAAATTATAGCAAAGATGATCAAATGATGCAAATAACCAGAAGGTAAAAAATGATAATATGGGATATTACCACTGCTCTGTTCTTTGCTAGCTTATTCATTTTCATTTTGTTTGAAAGGCAGAGAGATCTTTCATCAGCTATTTCCCCATCCATATGTCTGTAGTAGCTGGGACTGGAGTAGGCCAAAATCAGGAGTCCAAAACTCAGTTTGGGTCCCACCCCTCCCGGGTGGATGGCAGGGACCCAGGTACTTGAGCTATCTTCTACCTCCCAGGATGCACAACAGCAGGAAGCTGGTTCAGAAGTAATAGAACTAGGGCCTGGCACAATAGCGTAATGGTTAAAGTCATTGCCTTGAACATGCTGGTATCCCATATGGGTGCCGGTTCAAATCCTGGTGGCCCCGCTTCCCATCCAGCTCCCTGCCTGTGGCCTGGGAAAGCAGTAGAGAATGTACCAAAGTTTTGAGACACTGCACCCACTTGGGAGACCTGGAAGAAGTTCCTTGCTCCTGGCTTCAGATTGGCTCAGCTCTAGCTGTTGTGGCCATTTGGAAAGTGAACCATCGGACAGAAGATCTTCCTCTCTGTCTCTCCTTCTCTCTGTATATCTGACTTTGTAATAAAAATAAATGAATCTTTAAAAAAAAAAAAAAAGTAATAGAACTAGCCAGAACTCAAGCCAGGCAGGATAGTACGGATGTGAACGCCCTAAATGACATTCTAGGAGGTTGGGACAAGTAGCTGCCTCCCTTTGCCATTTTAGTAGGTTGAGAGTGATGTTTCATTTACTTGATGGAGCATTTTTCCTATTTATTGTCCCTTTTTTTTCCTGCTCTATAAAACGTGGTCATATTCATTTGCTGGTTGCATTTCTAAATTTTTGTCCTTCTTTAGTTGCAAATCTTATAGACAATTGTTTTTTGTCTATTAAATCCAGCTTTTTTTTTTCAAACTTTGGGGAATGAATCAATAAATAGAAACTGTTTATTTGATATTTATTTCTTCTCATTGCTCCCTTCTTGTGGTCACTATTTTTGCTTCCAGCAGCCTCTGGCCATCCTCCAGGTCAGTTAATCCCACACTGTCATTTTAACATCAGTAGTAGTGAAGAATACTAAGGAAAGTCAGTAGCCTGGCTTATTAAATAAGTTGAAATTCTGAAACTGGCACTGTAGTGTACATGCAAAACTGATGGGTGTCAATTCAAAGTTCAGAGGCTCCACATCCAATCCAGCTCCCTGCTAATAACTGGGAAGGCAGCCGAAGGGCATCCATGTCCTTGGGCCTCTGCACTCATATGGGAGTCCTGAAAGAAGATCCTAACTTCTGGCTTTGGTTAGCCACTGCTCCCATTGCAGCCATTTAAGGACTGAAGAAGCAGATGGAACATCTCTGTCTGTCTCTCTCTAACTTTGCCTTTCAAATCAAAATAAGTTTTTTAAAAGGAAAGAAATAACTAAGGAAATTGTCCTAGGTTGATGAAATGAAATAATGTTGTTCAGACTACTAAAATATAATACCTCTAATTTTCACAGCCTGTTGAAGTGTCTTTAGTTCTGGTCTGAATGGTCAGTGTTATCCAGAGTACAGAATCGGCATTTATTTGTATTCTCTACAGCACATTTCAGAAGGTTTTGTATTTTGTTGTTGTTGTTGTTCCATAGTTATTAAAAAGGAAAAAAAGAAAGAAGCAAAAACCTCCCAACCCTGTGTAATATATTCCAGTGTTTTATAATTCTTAAATTACATCAGAAACCTGGAGACTATTTACTGATTATTTTGTTGTCTTGTTTGAAATAACATTTTATGTGCCAGCAGTATATGATGCAGATATGAATTAATTTTGTAAACTCATAAAATGCATGGATAATGAATTATACTTTTCTATTCTGTTCTTTCTAATCAGCTCCTGGGCTACAATGAAAAACCAGTAAATCTACAGATGTTTATTGGAACAGCAGATGATCGGTATTTACGGCCTCATGCATTTTACCAGGTCCATCGGATCACTGGGAAGACAGTTGCTACAGCAAGCCAAGAGATAATCATTGCCAGCACAAAAGTTCTGGAAATTCCACTTCTTCCTGAAAACAATATGTCAGCCAGGTATCTTGAAACATACCCCTGATTTGGCACTTTCAGGGGAATAAAAAGTGTACTGACTTTTTTTTATTATAAAAATAGTCATTGTTCTGAATTGACCAAATGCAATTGTAAGATAATTGTATTGTGTTTGGTAAAGGTAGTTGCTTATTTTCAGAATAAGCCATTTCAATAAATGTTTCTGGAAAAAAAAAAAGGAAAAAAAAAGTTTCTAGAACATGTATTACCAGATAAGCATTGTCCTAGATGATAAGGATAAAAATACATAGAATTAAAATAAAACCAAGGCCCAGCGCAGTGACCTAGCAGCTGAAGTCCCCACCTTGAACACGCTGGGATCCCGTAATCCCAACAGCTGTACTTCCCATCCAGCTCCCTGCTTGTGGCCTGGGAAAGTAGTCAAGGATGGCCCAAAACCTTGGGACCCTGCACGCGCGAGGGAGACCTAGAGGAAATTCCTGGCTCATGGCTACGGATTGGTACAGCACCAGCCTTTGCAGTCACTTGGGGAGTGAACCATTGGATGGAAGATCTTCCTCTCTGACTCTGCTCCTCTCTTTGTATCTTACTTTCCAATAAAAATAAATATTTCCAAAAAATTAAAAAAAAAAAAACCAAATTGCTGACAGTGTGATAGTTTAAACAGTAAATAAATGATCAAAATACAAGAACAGTTGTTAAATGTCTTGAAGGAAAACTTTGACTTGACCGCCAGGCATCCCATTTGACTCATTCCCAAATACTACAAGTTCGTTAATTTCTGGATGAGAATGTAATAGAGCTTAGTTCAAGTAAATTAGTTCAGATTACACGTTGCTGAATGAAAAGAAAAACCTGAAATGCCAGTGGCTTAAATGGAGGTGTAGTTTATTAGCACTTAAAAGAAATATACAGATATCCATTTAGAGATGAAAATCATTGAAGACCTAAGCTGCCATTGTTTTCCTTTTCTGTTGTCTTTATCATATTTTCCATCTATAAGATTGTCTGGGCCCCAGAGCGATAGTCTAGAGGTTAAAGTCCTTGCATTGAATGCACTGTGATCCCTTGGGCGCCAGTGCTAATCCTGGCAGCCCTGCTTCCCATCTAGCTCCCTGCTTGAGGCCTGGGAAAGTGGTAAAGGCCAAAGCCTTGAGACCCTGTACCCACGTGGGAGACCTGGAGGAAGTTCCTGGCTCCTATCTTTGGATTGGCTCAGCTCCAGCCATTGTGGCCACTTGGGGAGTGAAAAATCGGACAGTAGATCTTCCTCTCTGTCTATCCTCCTCCCTTGTATATCTGCCTTTCCAATAAAAATAAATAAATCTTAAAAAATAAGACTGTCTCATGGTATAAATTGGCTGCTGGAGCTCTAGCCATTACAATCATATTCTCATAAGGAATAAGAGAAGAAAGATAAAGGGAGCTACTATCTTTCATTGATTATCTTTTTAGAAAAATAGATATTTATTTGTTTGAAAGAGTTGCAGAGGGAGAGTGAGATGTTCCATCCACTGACTCACTCTCCAAATGGGTATAATAGTCAGGGCTGACCCAGTCTAGAACAGAGCCAGAGATTACAGGCCCTCATGTGTTAGAACCATCTTCTACTACCTTCTCAGGCACATTAGAAGGGAGATGGATGGAAGCAGACAATTGGGTCATAAAGTAGTGTCTGTTTAGATTTCTGGCATCTCATAGTCAGTGTCTTAAGTTGCTATACCACAGAGCTCCAGTCCTTATTGATTATTTTGGTATGTAAGAAAGACTTAGGTTTGTGCTTTACCTCAGCACATTGCCACTTCTAACAGTATAATGGCTGGTTACTTAGACAGAAAAAAGTGCCAGTACTATGGTATACCAGATTAAGCTGTTATTTATAGTACCACAATCCCATATGAATACCAATTCAAATCTTAGCTGCTCCACTTCTGATATAACTCCCTGCTAATGCTGCTGGGAAAACAATGGAAAGTGGCCCAACTTCTGGGGCCCCTGTGCCTACTTGGGAGACCCTGAAGAAGCTCTTGGCTTCAGCTTGACCCAGCTTCAGCTGTTGTGGCCATTTGGGGAATGAGCCAGCTGATAGGAGACCCCTTTCTTTGTCTGTATAACTCTGTCTTTCTAAATAAATACAATGAATATTTGTTGGAGGGAACAAATATGAGAAGAAAGGATATGGGGTAGACAGCTGTCTAACCTGTCATAGCCACATGTGTGAAACCTAGACATTTCTGTTGTGGATGTTACTGTGAACGATAATGTGTATTTTGCTGAAAGTAGCAGTAGCATCTACCCAAAGGCTGGTGTGATAATAGTTCTATAACAAATAACAGGAAGAAAAAGAGAAATGGGAATTATTTTAAATAGAAAGCTAGGAAAATAAGTTTACACTGGAGTCAGGCATTGTGATGGCAATGTGTTAAGCCACTGCTTGGAAAGTGTCCCATATTGCAGTGCCTGGTTTCATGTTCCACTTCTACATCTTCTCTTTCTCCTTTGTTCCACGTCCCCCTCTTCTTCCTCTTCCTCCTGGCAGAATTAGAGAGAGAAGGAGATGACAGAAAGAAATCTTCCATCTGCCAGTTTACTCCCCAAATGACATTAGTGAGAGTTGGGGCAATACAAAGCCAGGAGTTTCCTCTGAGTCTCCCACATGAACACACAAGATCCCAAGGACTTAGACCATCCTTCACTACTTTCCCAGGTCATAGCAGGTACCTGAATCAGAAGCAGAGCAAGTTGGGCTTGAACCAGCACTCATCTTGGATGCCAGTACTGCAGGTGGAAGATTAATTTGCTATACCACACTCACAGACAAATCTAATCTAGCTTCCTTCTGATGCATACCTGTGAAGCAGGTGATGAATGGCTCAAGTGTCGTTCCTTTGTCAGACCTAAATGGATATCGGCCTGCTGGCTTCTGCCAGGCACAGCCTGAGCATTTGGGGACATTTGGTGGGTGAACTAGTACATGGAAGATCTATCTCTGCCTTTCATGTAATTAAAAATAAATAAATAAAACTTAAAATACAAATACCCTGAATTTAAGGCTATACAGATTATAATTACTTTAATTGAGCTGGACCATGTACTTCATAGAAACCAAAGGATAGAAACTTATTAAAGAGTTATTAAAGACCAGTATTTAAACTGTGGACCTCAGAGTCATCCTGCAAGATACTTTTAAGTGTAGGATGCCAGTATTGATGGCCTTGCCTAGAAACCTAACTCTGCTAAAAGACTTTCGCTCAATGTTTATTTAATGATCTCAGGAGCTTGCCCTAAGACCATTTTGGCACCATTTTGAAACAATTTGTTCAATACTGTTTTGACTGATTAATTTTTCAGTATTAGATAACAATTTCTTTTCTACAAATAGCAAGAATTTCTTTTCAATATTGCTTCCCTTTTTAATTTTTTAAAAGATTTATTTATTTATTTTTAGGATTTATTTATTTTTATTGGAAAGGCAGATATACAGAGAGGAGAATAGACAGAGAGGAAGATCTTCCATCCAATGGTTGATTCCCCAGGCAGTCACAATGGCTGGAGCTGAGCTGATCCAAAACCAGGAGCCAGGAAATTCCTCCAGGTCTCCCATGCTGGTGCAGAGTCCCAAGGCTTTGAGCCATCCTTGACTGCTCTCCCAGGCCACAAGCAGTGAGCTGGATGGGAAGCGGGCCTGCTGGGATTAGAACTGGCACCCATATGGGATCCCAGCGCATTCAATGCAAGGACTTTAACCTCTAGATTATCGCGTCAAGTCACTCGATGGATTATTTTTATTGAAGATGTATCAGTGAAAAAATGTAGAGATGCCAGTAATGATTTAGTTGAACCTATATTCAGTGCATCTTCTGACCTAGTTTTATTTATGATATGAAAGTGTTTTGGGGTCAGTGCCATGGCATAGTATGCTAAACTTCTGTTTTTGGTGCTAATAATATGGATGCCAGTAGTAGTCCTGGCTGTTCAACTCCTGATCCAGTGCCCTGCTTATGGCTTGGACTCAAGTCTTTGGGTCCCTGTACCCACATAGTAGACCCAAAGGAAGCTTCTGGCTCCTGTCTTCAGATTTGCTCAGTCCTGGCCATTGTAGCCATTTGCAAAGTGAACCAGTGGATGAAAGCTCTTTCACTCGTCTCTCCTTTTCTAGCTCTGCTTTTCAATTAAAAATAAAATAAGGGGGAGGGTTTGGGGAGGGGTTGGGGGAATCCCAGAGCCTATGAAACTGTATCATAAAATAAATTAAAAATAAGTTAAAAAATAATAAAACTTTTAAAAAAGTCTTTGCTTGCACTTTAGTGATTTAGTTCTGTATAATAAATTATGTCAGACATTAGTGCTTATAGTAATAATGTTTTCTCATTTTATGATTCCCCAAGTTGATTTGGCTTATCTGATTCATTCATTTGTTGTCAGCCTAGGTCACTCAAATACCTGAATTTTGGGGGAATTCAGATGGAATAAAAACATTGAAAATTACTAAGGTGGCTAGAAGGATTGGAGATTGTCTGGGCTTTCTTTCTCTCACTTTGTACATAATGCTTAGGACTCCATGACAGCAAAAATGACCAGTGCCAAGCTCACAGGTGTAATACAATCAGTTGGGAACACTCTTGCTTATTTAAGCAAGTTATAGACTAGCTTTCCAGGGGAGAAGGTCTGTTACCAAAAGGAGGAAAGGAGTGCATGTATAAGAAAGGGAGAAGCTGGCAACCATCTTTGTAAAAAATATGTCATTGTTTAACCCTGCACTGTTGTCGTACCAGAACATTTTTACTTCCTACTGTGAATAGCTGAGGAAGATAGGCATGCCTGTTTTTCTTTTTTGAACTGATTTTTGGTAGTTAGTTCTTCCCTGACAAAGTAATAATATCTATCTGTGCAATTGAGTTGTTTAGAGCTGATTATCAATAAACAAGTGAAAATGTTGCTTGTTTCTCTCTAGTATTGACTGTGCAGGTATTTTGAAACTCCGCAATTCAGATATAGAACTTCGAAAAGGAGAAACTGATATTGGCAGAAAAAATACTAGAGTACGACTTGTGTTTCGTGTACACATCCCACAGCCAAATGGAAAAGTCCTTTCTCTGCAGATAGCTTCAATACCTGTGGAATGCTGTAAGTGAGCTGTGTTTATGTTTTAAGATTTTGTTTAAAACAGTTGATTTTCTGCTTTGTTTATAATACAATGTTGCATCAAAAGTGCAAACTCAGGCACATTTGCTGATCTGACTTTTTTCTATGTAAACGATTAGCTAATGTTTTTAATAAGAGGAGTACTTATATTAGAAAATTAGAAAATGGCTTTTCACTTATTTTGACAACTCTGTCTTAATTATGTTTATGAGGAAGATATTTGCACCTGTGGATCCAATCAAGAAGGTATGATTTTGTTGCTTTCAGTTTTCTTTGTTTCATTAAATATCAACCTTCATGATAAAAGTTGGATTTCCTAACTACTTAAGATTTATAGAGTTTTTATTTTGTTCTACGTTCTTAATGTAATATTATTTACACCACTTTTTTGGTGGAAAAAGTAAATTTTTGTTCCCCTCTGATTTTTTTTTTAAGTTTATTTTATTTTTATTACAAAGTCAGATATACAGAGAGGAGGAGAGACAGAGAGGAAGATCTTCCGTCCAATGATTCACTCCCCAAGTGACCGCAATGGCCGGTGCTGTGCCGATCCGAAGCCAGGAACCAGGAACTCCCTCTGAGTCTACCACGCAGGTGTAGGATCCCAAGGTTTTTGGGCCATCCTCGACTGCTTTCCCAGGCCACAAGCATGGAGCTGGATGGGAAGTGGAGCTGCTGGAATTAGAACCGGCACCTATATGGGATCCTGGTGCATTCATGGCAAAGACTTTAGCCGCTTAACCACTGCACCACGCCCCCCCCTCTGATTTGTAAAGACATGATATAAGCAAGAGACCTTGAACTTGGAAATATATTTGACCCTTTAACTACTGTGAATCTGAGGCGATTAGCTGATATGGCTGAAATACTGAGACTGCATAGTTAAAATGTTAAAATGTTCTGATTCTACTCTCCCTGCTTCTTGAAATTCCATCTACCTGTAAATTATCAGTTCAGGATGTACATCCTCTCCCTGGGGACCTGGAACCATATACTGAAACCATCCCCCTTCCCAAGATTATATGAAGACTGACAACCAGAGGCGTGATCTCTGTCATTTCATGGACACAGAATGGAAGACAGAGTTATTTTCCTCTCTCTACTTTCTTATTCCTTTTTTATATTTATTTATACATGCATGCACAATGTATTTTTAAAGAAATTATATACTTGTGAGGCAGAAAAAAACAGTTCTGATTTACTGGTTCGTGCCCTAAATACCCACAATAGTTGAGGATAGGCCATGGCCCAAATCATGAGCCGAATCCGGGGCTAGAACCCCAATACTCTGATTTAGGACCCAGATATCTTACCTGCTAGGCCAATACCAGTCTGACACAATATTTTTATATCTTGTTTTGATGTCTGTGGTTACTATAGCAACATGAGCATTTTCCTCATTGTTACATATTTTTCAACCAATTATAAAACATGATTATGCCAGTTATTGAAAATTTGGGGACTGACATTGTGAGATATTAAGTTGATTGGCTGCTGAGATAAGGTATCCCAGTTAAAGCCAGTTAAAAGTCCTGGCTGCTCCACTTTTGCTCAAGCTCCCTAATAATGTGTCTGGGGAAGCACTGGCAAATTGCCCAAATATTTTGACCCCTGGCTTTTGCCTAACCTAACCCTGTGCTTTGCAACCCTCTGTGGATGGAAATGGTAGACTGTCTTTGGAGCTCTGCCTTTTAAATAGATAAATAAATGTTTTCGAAGGCTTCAGAGAATGTTTTTGCTGAAGCTGATGTTGCGATATAGTATGTAAAGCTGCCACCTGCAATGCTGGCATCCCATCTGGGTGCTGGTTCATGCCCTGGCTGCTGTACTTTCCATCCAGTCTCCTGATAATTGCCATTAAAGTAGCAGAATATTGCTGCACTGCTTGGGCCTGCCATCCATGTGGGAGACCCAGAAGACGCTCCTGCCTCCTGGCATCAGTCTGGTCCTGTGTGCATTGGTGGAGCCACCTGGGAAGTGATTCTACTATACCTGTAAAAGGGAGTTCCTATTATAAGTATCTGAAACTTTGAAGTACAGGTTGGTAGTTGGTGCATCTTAAGTGGTTATTGGTCCTAAGTACCAGATACAGTTTGTGAACAAGCCTATTTTAATATTTCCTTTGAATGGGACCGGTCGACTTCATGTGCTTTGAGACAAAATCCCAAGTAAAACTAGCAAACACTTGCTTTGCAAAAGTTATTGAAGGTTAAGTTTCTTTGAAATACTGTGTAGGGCCAGGTGTGATAGTGTAATGATAAAGGTCCTCTCCTTGAACGCACTAGGATCCTATATGGGCGCCGGTTCTAATCCCCACAGCTCCACTTCCCATCCAGCTCCCCGCTTGTGGCCTGGGAAAGCAGTCGAGGACAGCCCAAAGCTTTGGGATCCTGCGTCTGTGTGGGAGACCTGGAGAAAGAAGTTCTTGGTTCCTGGCTTCAGATCGGCACTGCGCTGGCCATTACGGCCGTGAATCATCAGACGGAGGATCTTCCTCTCTGTCTCTCCTCCTCTCTATAAATCTGCCTTATCCAATAAAATAAATAAATCTTTAAAAAAAGAAAAGAAATAATGTTGCAGCCAAACAAGACACAATTAGTAGAAAGAAAAGTAGTTGATACTTTTTGTTAAATTCTAGAAAGAAGCCTATTTACATAGGCATTTGATAAGAAGAGCTGATTAAAAAAAACCTAAGCAGCCAAAAGAAAAGTAACTTGAATCGCAAACAATTAAGAAAGGAAAGACAAAAATAAAACTCCCCAAAGTATGTTTTGAAACCAACCACTCAATATCAAAAAGTGGCACCAAGGACAGCTTTTATAAATGTGGATAACTTAAACAACAATTCTGTGTCGTAAAAAAATATTATTCGTTGTATCTGGGAAAACAGAAATGTGTAGTCACTTTAGAGACACTTAGAGCCTTGTCAAAAGCTTCGTTATTGGAATGTGGAATTCATGAATGTTTTGTTTATTCCATTGTTAGAAAATTATCCAAAATAGAAATGTTATATCACAGTCGTGATCTAATAGGTAGTTTGATCTTGAAGAGTTAACTTGATGTTTGCCCTACAGTATTCTGCAGAAACTTGTCTAAATTGTATGCAATGCGCTTAAATATATTTGATCTAGCATATATATATGTGTATATGAAAATTTTTTACTAATATTTTGCCTTTTGTCAACTCCTAAAAAAAAATCCAGCCCAGCGGTCTGCTCAAGAACTTCCTCATATTGAGAAGTACAGTATTAACAGTTGTTCTGTGAATGGAGGCCATGAAATGATTGTGACTGGATCTAATTTTCTCCCAGAATCCAAAATCATTTTTCTTGAAAAAGGACAAGGTAAATAGCATATGAATTGCTTGATGTCAAGCTAAAGGACAAGTGGTAAAATGAATGATTCAATAACACTAATCAGCAAAATTGGTCACTTAAAGCAGCAGGCATTGTATATGTACTATATTTTATTGTAAATCAAACATTAAATTTTCATATAAATGTTTTATTATCTTTAAGTATTTCTTTTTAAGGATTCATTTGAAAGAATGAAAAAGGGAAGGAGGGAGCTCCATCTACCCCCTGGCTCTTGGCTTTGCACTAGCTCATCTCTGGCTGTTGTGCACATTGGGGAGTGAATCAGCAACGTATGATCCTTCTTGCTGTCTCTCCCTCTCTCTTTCTGTAATTCTGCCTTTCAAATAAGTAAATAAATAAATCTTTTTTAAGAATTCTCCCAGCAATTCTACATATATATTCAAATAAACCTAGCCCAGCCCTGGTTAACAAGAATTGGGGGATTTCTCTTTCTCAAATGTGATTGCAGTTTCTCTTTTAACTCTCTACCTCTCAAGTGTTTTTAAAAAAAGAAAGATGCATCTGTTTAGTTTCCCAGCTTACTGACATTTCAATCATTTATGAAGTACAGATATATAGATTGATGCAGTGATGTAGATGCTGGCTCTGCATTGGAGCTACTCATTCCTGGGCTTGGAGCATTTGGAGGAAGGTGCAAATTTTATTTTTAAGCCTGGCACAATAGCATAGCGGCTAAAGTCCTTGCCTTGAATGCGTCGGGATCCCCTGTGGGCACCAGCTTTAATCCCGGCAGCTCTGCTTCGCATCCAGCTCCCTGCTTGTTGCCTGGGAAAGCAGACAAGGATGACCCAAAGCTTAGGGACCCTGCACCCTCATGGGAGGCTCAGAGGAGGCTCCTGGTTCCTGGCTTTGGATTGGCTCAGAGCTCCAACTATTGCAGCTGCTTGGGGAGTGAACCATCGGACGGAGGATCTTCCTCTCTGTCTCTGCTCCTCTTTGTATCTGCCTTTACAATAAAAATAAAATAAATCTTTAAAAATTTTTAATATTATTTACATAATTGAGAGGAATGAGTGCCGATTTGGGCCTCTGAATAGGATGGGGGAATCAGGTATGGAGGATGATGGGTGGAACACTTGTTTTAGTATTTTTTTTTTCTCTTGTGTCTGCAAGGGAGGAGGGGCTGAGGGCCACTCCTTACTGTCAAGCTATGTCAGCACGTGGGCATGAGGAGACAGACTTTTGATGGCACCCAAGAGACCCCATTGTGGGGAAGAGTGGTCTGAGGGTGTCACTTGAATAGTATTGATAGATCTGGGATGTCATCAGTTTCATTGCTCTCAGATTGAGAAAATCTTTCCAAGGTCTGTTGGTTGACCTTAGTGTATCCACAGACCCAGAAACATGCTGCAAAACTTGGACAGGAGAATAATTGTCCAGCCTGTTCTGCTTTCCAGCCTCTGACGAGGCAGTTGACATCCCCTCCTGTCCTAGATGAGCTGGCCATCATATCCCCTGTGTATCTCTGGATATACTGTCCACTGCACAGGCATCAGCAGCTGAAGAGGCCCAGTCCTGATACGTGCACTCTAAGGTCAGACCACACATCCTGTGATTTTTCCGTAGCCAAGGTCTGAGTCCAGAAGTCCACTTGGGGATTCCCCCAAGGAACCTCACCTAGGGTGACCTCAGACTTGACTTGTGTGTGTCAGCCAGTGCAACTCAAGTTAGTCAGTCACCTGCATTAATGGAGAGCATTTTCTAAAATAATGTGTAAGGGGTAGGTGTGGAACTGTGGCTCCTGGTGAAGAAAGGAGACACAAGGAGACATGGCTGTTGATTTTCAACATCTGAATTGTATCTCTGAGAAGCAATCAAGAGTTAGGTTATTTGGCTTTTCTTTCTTTCTTTCTTTCTTTGCTTATTTTTGGTGGCTGCATGGAGTACTTTGAGCAGTAGTTAGATAACATTAAGAGATAGCTGAGTTTTTTTTAGTAGTAACTGTTGTCCAAAGATGGAAAGGATTACCTTGTGAGGGAATGAATTTCTCTTCTCTTGAAGTACACAAACAAAAGTTGACTGTGCTTTGTAGGGCATAGTCAAGGATTTTCAAGAATCATTCAGTTAGATGGATAGAAGAACTCTGAGGGGCCCGATGAGGTAACCTACTGGCTAAACACTTGCCTTGTATCCGCTGGGATCCCATTGAGCACTGGTTCATGCCCTGGCTGCTTCACTTCCATCCAGCTCCCTGTTTGTGGCCTCGGAAAACAGTAGAGGGTGGTCCAAAATCTTGGAACCCTACATCCGTGTGGGAGACCTGGAAAAGTCTCCTGGTTCTGGATCAGCTACGTTTCAGCTGTTGTGGCCTTTTGGGGAGTGAACCAGCAGAGCAGCAGATGGAAGATGTTTCTCTTTGTCTCCTTCTCTCTGAATATCTGCCTTTCCAATAAAACAATAAATATTTAAAAAAAAAAAAAAAAAAAAAACTCCCTCAAGCTTTTTGACCTGGATAGTCCAAGATGTTTCTTCCTGTTTTTCCCTAAGAATAAGCTCTTGCTGATAAATTTGTGATAGTACATGCATTAGATTTTGTTATATGTTTTGTGAACTGGATTACTTTTAACTATAAATTGTTTCTTTCATAGATGGACGACCTCAATGGGAGGTAGAAGGGAAAATAATCAGGGAAAAATGTCAAGGGGTAAGATACTTAATTTTTAAATATTTGAGAAACTTAATGAGAAAATCGAATAATGCTACTTTATGAAATAGATAAGGAGTCCTTTGTTGGCTAATATAAAAGGAAATTAGAATTTTTAAAAACTTATGAATATATTTATGATATATTTTCCTGGTATTAAAATTTAAGAAAAATAAATGATTGTTATCTATTTTATGTAATAGAAAAAAAACTAGAATAATGAAGACTATGGGAAGGTCTTTATTGAAATTACCATTAATTTATTTCTCTAAATTCAGTGAAAAAATCCAAACATTCAGTAAAGATATATAGTGGGACAGAAGATAGTATTTAATATGCCAAGCTAAACTCTTCAGCCACTTGATTACGCCTTCCAGGTTTCTTTAGTGAAAATTGTGGTACTTTAATCTTGTTTGAGTAAATAGAATCTTCTTTGGGGTAGGGAGTATCATGCCCACAATGTATCCAAAGACTTGGGACAGTTAGATTGAAGGTTGCATTTGGTATGGGGCTATAGATTTTCGTCCTACTAGTTTAAACTTATTTTTTATATGATATATATTTTGTGTACTGCCAATTTAGACTATTTCAGTTATAAAATTTAAGGTAAGTCCAAACTGTAACATAATTTGGGAAATATTAAACATGATTAAAAATGAGAAAGAGCTTTTCTTTAGATGTGTGCCTTATTTGATAGTGTGGAAGACCTTTTATTTTCAGAAACCTTCTATTTTTAACAACACCTAGAAACCCAGTTGAGAGAATAAAAAACAGTTTTTCCTTGAATGATGGAAGGACCCTCTCTGTCAAGATTTTTAGCTGTGGGGTAGATCTCCAGATGACTTGCCTGACCAGTTGATGTACATGCTGATCTGTGGTGGGGGAGCCTGGATTATAACTCGTAAACTGCTCTGAGTTTAGCAGGTGTGTTTCATTTTTAGATCTGAGTGTAACACAATCTTGCTTTCCATGTTCCTTAGGCTCACATTGTCCTTGAAGTTCCTCCATATCATAACCCAGCAGTTACAGCTGCAGTGCAGGTGCACTTTTATCTTTGCAATGGCAAGAGGAAAAAAAGCCAGTCTCAACGTTTTACATACACACCAGGTATGAGGAGTTGTTATGATGGTTTACTGTCAAGCTTTGTTTTTCTTTTCTTTTATTTTAAGATTTATTTATTTATTTAAAGGCAGAGTTAGGGCAGTACAGAGAAAGAGAGAGAGCTTCCAAGCATCCATCTCTTAGCTCACTCTTCAAATGACTTGAACAGCTGAGCATAGGCCAGGCTATAGCCAGGAGCCAGGAATTTCTGTCTTCCAGGTCTCCCACAGGGGTAAAGAGGTGCAGGCACTTGAACTTTCTTTTCCTTCTTCCCAGGCATATTAAGCAGAGAGCTGGGCAGGAAATAGAAAAGTCATGATTTGAACCAGCACCTGTATGGGGTGCTGGTGCTTTCTTTAGTGACTTTCCTTGCTGTGTCACTGAGCTAGCCCCTTTTTCCTTCTCTTTTAATGCTCATTATTTCCATGTATTTAAGATGCAGGAAAAGAAGGAGCAAATATTTCATTCTTCAAATATCTGTTAATAGTCAAGGGTGGTCCATGGGAAAGCCAGGAGCATGGCACTATTATCTGAGTCTCCCTTGTGGTTGGCACAGTTCCAAGCACTTGAGCCATCTTCTGCTGCCTCCCACAATGCATTAGGAGGAGCTGGATCAGAAACAGAAATGCCAGTAGTTAAAACTGGCACCCCAAATAGCAGACTAACCTCTATGCCACAACACCTGCCCTTTTCATGTCTTTTTAAAGCCTGGTTATGTTTATCATATCCAAAGGCTTCATATGGTCCCAAATCCTAAAATTGAGTATTACTTACTATTATTGATAATGTTAATATGTTACCTGATAATAAAATAATTCAGAAAACTTTCAGAGAGATGCACATCTTTTGAAAGTGAACAACTGAGATGCTGGGCCCGGCACAGTAAGCTAGTGGCTAAAGTCCTCACCTTGCATGCCAGGGATCCCATATTGACAGTGGTTTGTGTCCTGGTGGCCACATTTCCCAAATAGCTCCCTGCTGTGGCCTGGGGAAACAGACAAGGGCAGCTCAAAGCCTTGGGACCCTGCATCCATGTGGGAGACACAGAAGAAGCTCCTGGCTCCTGGCTTTGAATTGGCTTAGCTCTGGCCATTACAGTTACTTGGGAAGTGAATCAGCAGATGGAAGATCGTCCTCTATTGTCTTTCCTCCTCTCTGTATATCTGACTTTCCAGTTAAAACAAAAAAAAATAAATAGCAACATTTGATTGGTAGAATCATAGTCTTAAAAGATCCATAAGAAACCTGTGCTATGACTTACAGATAAAACTACTGCTGGTGGTACGGGCTTCTCATATGGGCACTGTCTTTAGTCCTGGCTGCTCCACTTCTGATTCTTCCCATGCAGCTCAGCGAAGGATGGTATTAGGCCTCGGGCCAATGTACCTATGTGGAAGACCTAGAGGAAACTCCTGGCTCTTTGCCCTTTATGGCCATTTGGTGAATGGACCAGCAGATGAGATATAGCTGTCTCTCTCATTCTCTCTGTAATCTTGACTTAATGAATTTCAAGTAAAATAAATTTTTTTTTAAAAAGAGAAGCATTAGAACAAGACTCTCATAATAAGTTTATGCTTGTGGGAAAGCGTATTCTGTGTTCTAAGTAGTTAACTAAGCACACCAGCCTTCGGATTGTTATCGTTCTAATTAGGGGAGAAAGCTGCTTGGGAGCCAGGATATCCAGCTTCAGCTCTGCTGTAGGTAATAACCACTGAGTGCATAAGACTAAATTGGTGACTTTTGAATTGTTTTAAATTTTTAAAATTTTAACAAAAAATTTAATATGAAAATATTCATGATCCAGTTGTTGTAGCATAGTAAAATAGCACCCTTGACATTGCTTTGTTTCCTGAAGAGCCCTTTATGTATTCTCATTTTAAGGCTTTTTTTAATAATAGATGTTTTTTTTTTAATTTATTTATTTTTATTGCAAAGTCAGATATACAGAGAGAGAGAGAGACAGAGAGGGAGATCTTTCATCCACTGATTCACGCCCCAAGCAGCCGCAACAGCTGGAGTTGATCCGATCGGAAGCCAGCAGCCCAGAACCTCTTCAGGTCACCTACATGGGTACAGGGTCCCAAGACTTTGGGCTGTCCTCGGCTGCTTTGTCAGGCCACAAACAGGGAACTGGATAGGAAGTGGGGCCTCTAGGATTAGAACCGGAGCCTATATGGAATCTCAGTGTGTTCAAGATGAGGACTTTGGCCACCAGGCCACTGCCTCGGGCCTTTTTTTTTTTTTTTTAAGATTTATTTATTTATGGGCCCAGCATAGTAGCCTAGCTGCTAAAGTCATTGCCTTGCATTCACCAGGATCCCATATGAGTACCAGTTCGCATCCTGACTGCTCCACTTCCTTCCTAGCTCCCTGCTTGTGGCCTAGAAAAGCAGTCGAGGACGGCCCAAAGCCTTGGGATCCTGCACTTGCGTGAGAGACCCAGAGGAAGTTCCTGGCTCTTAACTGCGGATTGGCTCAGCTCCGGCTGTTATAGCCACTGGGCGAGTGAATCAGCGGATGGGAGATTTTTCTCTCTGTCTCTGCTTTTGCTTCTCTCTATAAATCTGACTTTCCAATAAAAAAATTAAAAACTAAAAAAAAAAATTTGAAAGAAAAATTTAAAAGATTTATTTATTTATTTAAAAGAGCCACAGGGAAGGAAAGGCAGAGAGAGAGAAATTATACATCTACTGGTTTACACCCCCAAATGGCCACAGTGGCTGAAGTTGAGCTGGTAAAGTCAGGAGTTAGGAGCGCTTTCCAAGTCTCCCATGTGAGTAAGGATCCAAGGATTTGGCCCATCATTCCCTGATTTCAGGTGTGTTATTAGAGGTTTTGGTCAGAATTAAAATAATTGGGACTAGAATCAGCACCCGTATGGGTTCCTGGCATCCCAGATAGCCACCAAATCAGCTCCTCCAAGTCTTCCAATATGGTGACATTATTTCCTTGTATTACTACCATTCCTGTATTGTTCTGCTGCCTTTCTGGTGGTAATATCTCCATACATCATCTATCATAAAGATTCAGAAAATAATCAAACTGCCACAATGGTTTTTTGAAATGTGTGTTATGATAAAATTCAACCATCTTCTCCTTTTTCCACACCGGTAACAGGCTAGGTTGGAAACAGAGCTGCTTGGGCATAAATTGGTGTCCTTTTTGAATGCCAGCTTTACCAACTGTGCCTCAACACACCCCACAAAATTGTTTTCTTAATTTCCTGTTTGGATTGCTTATCATTAATTCATCCAAATATATATTTTTGCATGATGATTTTTGTATCTGAAAATTTCACTGAATTTGTGGTTAATAGTGTTTTTGAGCCTCTCATGATAGTGGAGGATCACAGGAAATGCTTATTAAAATCATTGTAAACCAAAAGCTGTGTGAACGTAAGATTCATGTTGTCTGGCATGTAACACAGCATGTAAAAGCAGGTGACTGATAAGTGTCAGATCATGTCTCCCAAATACAAAGAATGGTTGATTTTGACCATAGGATTTTACTTTGTATTTATTTATTTTAAAGATTTATTTTTATTGGAAAGTCAGATTCACAGAGAGGAGAAAGAGATAAAAATCTTCTATCTGCTGGTTCACTCCCCAAGTTGCTGTAACAGCTGGAGCTTAACCGATCAGAAGCCAGGAGCTTTTTACAGGTCTCTCCTGTGAGTGCAGGCTCCCGAGGCTTTGGGCCATCCTCTACTGTTTTCATAGGCCACAAACATTGAGCTGAACTGAAAGTGGAACAGCTGGGACACAAACCAGCGCCCATATAGGATCTCAGTGAAGGTGAAGATTAGGCAGTTGAACTATTGCGCTGGGATCTCAATTTATTTTTAATGGGTAATATATACACAATCAAAAACATTGAAAGAGCACAACATGGCCTGGCACTATGGCTCAGTAACTAAATCCTTGCCTTGCATATACTGGGATTCCTCATGGGCACTATTTCGTGTCCTAGCTGTTCCACTTCCTCTTTCCTCTGATTCCAGGTTATCTAGTTTTCTTTTCCAGCAGCAAATCCAACACGTCATAGTTTGTTAAACATCTTCACAGAGCTTTCCATACATGTACAGGCAAAAACATATGTATGTATAGTTATGTGTATACACAAAAACATACACATGTACATAGACTCTTCTATTTGAGTTACCTTCACTAAAGGCAGTTGTGTTTGCCACCCTGGCTACAGCTGTGATCTAACATAAAGCATCGCCATTTTCATTTTATGTATTACATATTAACAGTAGCTTTCATAATTTTCTTTTCAGTTTTCATGAAGCAAGAACACAGAGAAGAGATTGATTTATCTTCAGTTCCACCTTTGCCTATACCACATTCTGCCCAGACCCAGAGGCCTTCAGCAGATCCAGGGCACCCACACGACAGTGTATTGTCAACACAGAGGAACTTGGTTTGTCCAGTCCAGCAGGCATATGCATCCATGGTAACCTCATCCCATCTACCACCATTGCAATGTGGGGATGAGAATTCAGGAAAAGAACAGCAGGTGGTATCTTCTTCAGTTGTACACCAGCCTTTTCAAGTTACACCGACACCTCCTGTGGGGTCTTCCTATCAGCCTATGCAAACTAATATATACAATGGACCAACTTGTCTTCCTGTTAATGCTGCCTCTAGTCAAGAATTTGACCCAGTTTTGTTTCAACAGGATACAACTCTTCCTAGTTTAGTAAATCTTGGCTGTCAACCATTATCATCCGTACCATTTCATTCTTCAAATTCTGGTTCAACAGGACATCTCTTAGCACATACACCTCATTCTGTGCAGACCCCGCCTCATCTGCAGTCGATGGGATACCATTGTTCAAATACAGCGCAAAGATCTCTTTCTTCTCCAGGGACTGACCAGGTCACAGGTCAGTCTTCCCCTCAGTTGCAACCCATTACATACAGTCCTTCACATTCTGGGTCTGCTACAACAGCTTCCCCAGCAGCTTCTTGTCCCTTGGCCAGCTCACCACTTTCTGGTCCGTCGTCTCCTCAGCTGCAGCCTATGCCTTACCAATCTCCTAGCTCAGGAACTGCCTCATTACCATCTCCGGCCACCAGAATGCATTCTGGAAAGCACTCAAGTCAAGCACAAAGTACAGGCCAGAGAGATCTTTCTGTACCTTCATCCTTAATGTGTCACAATTTATGTGATCCAGCCTCATTTCCATCTGATGGGGCAACTGTGAACGTGAAACATGAACCTGAAGATCGGGAACCTAACTTTACAACCATTGGTCTACAGGACATCACTTTAGATGATGGTAAGTTCAAGAGTATGAAGTTGCCATGGAATGTTTAGTGATCAACAGCAGAATTGGGTCTTTAAGTGAGTTGTTATTATTAGAGATACATGTCAATACATACCTGTTCTTTGAAGAAAATCTGTTCTTCAGAGTATTTTATCACTAATATTTATTTCTGTATAGGGATTCTTTTCTTTGAAACTATATGGCTAAAAAAAAAAAAAAAACTATGGATAGACCATAGAATAGAGAATGGAATTCATGGGGCAGTACTTCAGTGAGCATTGTTGAACTAGATGTTGAGAATACTAAGAAGGTAGTAAGATACTATTTCTGCCCTTAGAGAGATTCCCACAAATATAGAACCTGCTCTCCAGAACCAGCAATTAACTAGAAGTTAACACACCTACAGTTAAGGTGCAGCATTTGATGTTGGAGTACCTGGGGGAGGCTTGAAGAATGGCTTAATTTGCACTTTATCACCCTCATACCTCATTGGAGACCTGAATTGGGTTTTGGAGTCCTGGCTTTGTCTCCTGCCCAGCTCTAACCACTGTGGATATTTGAGGTGTGAACCAGCAGATAATAACTGTTTGTCTATCTGTGCCTTTCTTTGACACTCAAATAAGACTTCAAAGAAGTATTAAAGTTTAGGAATGCTCCCAGCGCACTGGGGGAAGGTATCAAGGGGACTGAGGAGGCAGGCTTGGGTTGCGGGAAGGCTAGGGGCATAACATTGGTGGGCATGTGGGGTCCTGGGAGCTCACCTCTAGGCAGGTGGAGTGAACCTCGAGATTTCCTTATGTACTTGGTCCTGGGCAAGGTGAGGAGAGTGGAGGGGAGAGCCCCAGGTCATTATGCTGCTCTGGTGTGCTGCTGGAAATTTCACTGGATCTGGGTCTTGGGTATGTAGAGGGGGTGAGGCACCAGGCCAGCACATATGACAGGAGCTTGGGACCCTGATACACAGCAGAGTCCCAGACCAGCTCACCACCCACTGGGATTCCAAAGGCTGGGCTAGTCACAAGGATTGTGGGTTGATTAGGGAAAGGAGCAAGGGGATATAGGGTAGGGAGGGTCATCCTGGGAGTATCTTGTAGGTGAGCAATGACTCCTGAGGGACTCCCAACGACAAGGCAGGTATGTGAGGGGACTGAAACCTGGTGGTTTGGAGGGGAGAGACCAGAAGAACTTTGTGGATCAGACCGATCTCCAGCCCACATGGGAGACCTGAGCTGGGCTTAGCATGGAACATTGCTGATCACCACATGCCAGCCCACCCACAAGCTATGGCTGGGGGCCAGTCTGACCGGACTAGATCCCAGTACCTGACAATGAGTGGCTGATCAGGGGACGGGTCACATTAGGCTGGACCATGACACCAGCCAGCACACAAGTGAATCGAGTCTGGGTGTAGATTCTGTGGGAGATATGTAGGCCCAGCCCTATGGAATTACAAGTCTTGCTGGTGAGCTTAGGAGTTGGGATGGTGATGGACAGAGGTAGGTGTGGCCATGGATTTCACCAATACAGGTACTGGGGGTAGGAACAAATGGAGCAGGTCCAAGCTATAGCACCCACATGAGCACCCTAAAACAGGGTGTGGGGTGAGCTGGGCCACAACATCCACCAGCTCATAAAAAGGCCAGGATGGATGGGCAGGTCATGTCAAGAAGCAAGGGCCTAGTACCTACTGGCATGTGTGAGATCTGGGTCTGGGAGTGGCCTGAAGGAGGGAACTTGGGTAACTTCCCTAGTGAGTCATAACTCTCACTGGAGAGCACATAGTTCAGGCCTGGGTGTTGGGCAGGTTGGGCAGGGTAGCTCCATCTGTTGGCAAGTATGTGAGTTGGTTTTGGAAGAGGGTGGATTGAATGGGGCTGAGTGAACCATAGCCCACTGGCAAGTGCAGAAACTAGAATGGAGTGCAGGTTATGCTGGACTAGGCTGTCACACCTGCTTGTGTGCATGAGCCAGAGATAGAAGCAGCAGGGCCAGGTTCCAGCACCCGCCAGTGACAGTTGGGACTGGGAACCAGCCAGGCCAAGGTAGGCTACAGCATCCCAAAGTGATGGCCAAGACAGATGAGGGGCTATGCCAAGCTGAGTCAGAGTAACCACTGTCGTGCATGAAATCTGTGCCTTGAAACAGGCCTGGGTGGGGAGCCAAGGGGGCACCCTGGTTGGATTGTGGGTCCCACTGGTGAATGCAAGTCCTGGAGTGGAGGCTACAGTCTAGCCTGGACGTGGCTATCGTATCCTTCAGAATGGGTGTGGACTGGTTCTGGGGTATGTCAGACTGGGCTAGACTCTACACCCACTGGTGTAGTAGAAGACAGCTCAAGTGCTTGGGCCACTACCACCCATGTGGGAGTTCCAAATTGATTTTATAGCTCTTTACTTCAGCCTGGCCCAGCCCCAGTTGTTGTGGCCATTTAGGGAGTGAACCAGTAGATGCTATTCCTGTCTATCCCTCTCATTCAAATAAAAGATATTTATGTATTTATAAAGATTTTAGTCTAGTTTCATGCTACTATAATCTTCATTAAAATGTTTAGAACACAACCATGACAATTTTTTAAAAGATGAATTTATTTTTATTGGAAAGCAGATCAGTTTTACAGAGAGAAAGAGAAATAGAAAGATCTTGCAGGGCCTGGCGCGGTGGCGCAAGTGGTTAAGTCCTCGCCTTGCACGCCCGGGATACCATATGGGCGCCGGTTCTAATCCCGGCAGCCCCGCTTCCCTTCCAGCTCCCTGCCTGTGGCCGGGGAAAGCAGTTGAGGACTGAAGCCTGAAGCTTTGGGACCCTGCACCCATGTGGGAGTCCCGGAAGAGGCTCCTGGCTTCGGACCGGCATAGCATCGGCCGTTGCGCTCACTTGGGGAGTGAATCATCGGACGGAAGATCTTCCTCTCTGTCTCTCCTCTCTGTATATCCGCCTTTCCAATACAAAAATAATAAAAATAAATCTTAAAAAAAAAAAGAAAGATCTTGCATCCACTGGTTCATTCCCCAAATGACAACAATAGCTGGAGATAAGCCAATCCGAAGCCAGGAACTTCTCCAAAATCTCCCTGATGGGTGCAGGGTCCCAAGGCTTCAGGCCATCCTCTTGCCTCCCCAGGCCACAAGCAGGGAGCTGTATGGAAAGTGGACCAGCTAGGACATAAATTGGCATCCATATGGAATCCCAGTACTTCCAAAATAAAGATTTAGGCATTGGACCATAATGCCAGTTCCACAGCTATGACCATTTCTCTTTTTTTAAATTGCATTTCATTTTATAACATCGCTTCATATGCTCTGATGTTCCCCCATCCCCTCCCCATGCCCTCACCCCATGGTGGATTGTTCCACCTTATTGCAGTATTACAGTTCAAATCCAATCTAGTTTCTTTCATTGTAAGCATGTGCTATGCATAGTCCAGCATCTTATTGTCCAGCTCAATTCAACAGTTTCTTGGGGAGACCAACTCTGGTCTGAAGGCATAGCCGGCGGAATATCATTCTGACCAATTAAAAGCCATAACATAAGCCATGACCATTTCTATATTTATTTTATTTATTATATTTACATAGTTAAGAAGGATGTGTGTCCATGTGGACCACTAATTAGGGAAGGAAGGATCTAGGATTAGGGGAAAGCAGCGGAGACCATTGTTTCCAAGTTTTTTTTCTTTTCTTGTATCTGGGGGAAGGGAGAGATAAGAGGAGAAGCCTCACCATAACCTCCCAACTGCGCCAGTACCCAGGGATGGGAAATGGCTGCCAGACATCAACCCAGGTCCTCGATGTGGAGCATACTCTGAGGGTTCTGCTTAAATGGTGTCAGTACTTTTGAAATGAGGTTGATGTTGCTCCAAGGATGAGGAAATCCTTCCAAGGTGCATTGGCTGATATAGTCCACCTTAGAATCTCCATTCACCCAGATCTTTACTGTCAACACTTGACTGGGGTAGTTGTCCAATTTGTTCTTCCCTCTATCCTCTCCTATGGTACAAAATGTCCTCTGCAGACCCCAATGGACTGCCATATCTTCCATGTGCATTTGGGCAAGCCATCCACTGCTCCGTCTTTTCCACTGAGAAGGCCCAGTTCTGACACATATACTCCATGGTCAGACCACAGATCCTGTGATTTTCCCCGTGGTTAGAGTTCTGAATCCTGCAGTTCAGTGGGGGGATCCCCGAAGAAACCTCATCTGATATAACCCAGATCTGACTCTTGTGTGTGCTAGCTGGTACGGGTTCCAACTCAGACCACATACGTGTTGGTAGTTACAATTGCTGGGTCAGTTCTGTCTCTAGCCTTAGCTCTTATGCAAACCAATGGATGCTGCAGTCCAGCCTAGCCCTGCCCACCACATACATGTCCCTTATGTACACCAGGGGGAACTGCAGCCCAGTTGGAGTGACCCCTAATAACCCACACCAGGCCCATCCGCAGCCCTGTTTCCATCACATGCTGGTATGTGCAACAGACTGAGTCAGTTTGTCCCACAGCCCAACTGACCCTGCTATCTGGACCACACTTATGCTGATGGGTGCCACTGCCTGTCCAGTCAGGCTTACCCCCAGCCCTAGTTATCATGCTCATGGGTGGGAGCTGCAGCCCATCAGAGAAATGCCCACAATTTCCCTACTAGTCCACTCTAAACCCTAGATCTTGTACTTTTCTTTCTTTTATTATTATTAATTACATTGCATTATGTGACGCAGTTTCATAGGCTCTGGGATTCCCCCAACTAGATCTTGTACTTTTCAAGTGATTCTGCAGTCCAGCTTGACGTGACTTACCCCTGTTCGCAGCCCTTGACAGCTCACACTGTGGCAAAGCCCAAACAGCCTGCACTTGCTCTGGTTCATGAATGCACCAGTGATATGGTTGCTTAGCCCAGCCTAGCTGTCCCTCTAAACCAGCTCATGTGCAGGTCACCTTCCTATCCTTATCTGCCACTGGTCCTAATTCTCATGCTCACTAGCAGGAGCAGTGGCCTAGCAAGAGAGTCCTTGCTGT